TATACAAATGCATGAGGTACCCCAAAGTCAGTGTCTGGGATTATCTTTGATTGTTCATTTATTGAGGCAGGGTCTCTTGATCAAGGCCAGAGCCTCCTTATGGCTAGTCTTGCTAGTAGGCTTACTCTGGGGACCTCCTGTCTTCTGAGTCTGGAATTACCAGCAGGCTACCACACCCACCCAGCATTTGTGTGGGTTCTGGGGATCTGAACTCCAGTCCTTACTACTGCCTGGCAAACACTTTACTCACTAAGCCGTTTTCCCAGCCCTAATCTTTTAAAAAGTGAAATAACAGCCAGCAGTTCAATAAAGTGAATGCTAAGTTCAAGGAGCCATCCTGAGCACGGAAGAGGTATTATTAATTTAACCCATTCAACAACTCTACGAGGGAAGGAGCACTATTGCAGACCGGCAAGCTCGGACATGGAGAGGTTAATGATGGGGCTCACAGAGCCGATGACGGCAGAACCAAGATCCAAGCCTGGAGTCTCGGTATAAAGTCCGTGCTCTAATTAAGAGCTACACTTCATATTTGCAGAGTGTTAAATAACTACATGGTCAGCACCCTTGGCAGCTGTTCTCTGGGGGCAGGGCTGGATGGACAGAGAACAGCCCCGTCTAGGAAGAGCTGCCCTTCTTCCAGTGAGCACAGCCAATGGCAGCCTGCTGGGTTTCCAACAGATCTCTTTGAGGGGTCTACAAGAAACAAAGTCTGATGGAAAAAGACCCCGGCATGGGTAGGATTGCTGGCTGTCAACCTTTACACTTTGTGCAGGTCACTGAACTCAAACCCTGTGAAAGATGCAAGATGACTCCAGTGGAGACCCTGGCCTCAAACAGCTCAGAGACATGCATGTCCACGGAGCTGAAACAGGATGCAACAGGCACCAAAGGAAAGAAAGAAGTTGCTATGGGACTTCACAGGAGCCCAGCCCCTAGGTCCCCACTGCCCACATATGCCCTCCAAAGGCCTCTGTGACATACAGGATTAGAGCACCATAGAGCAAGTTCAATTTTATTTAATAGCTCAAGTTCATGGCTACTCAGGGGTTCCCTTGCCAGTAATGAAACAATCCTAATTTCCTTCCCTACCCTCACCCCTCACCCTTTTTAAAAATTTTAATCTTTTGATTTTTTTTTTTAACTTCATAGTTCCTGTGTAGCTCCTGGTTGTTCTGATCTCAAAGTCTGCTGGTCTCTGCCTCCCAAGTACTGGGATTAAAGGTGAGAGGTCCTCACTATGTGGAACAAGCTGGCCTCAAACATACAGAAGTCTGCTGGTCTCTGCCTCCCAAGTACTGGGATTAAAGGTGAGAGGTCACTCCAGTGGAGACCCTGGCCTCAGACAGCTCAGAGACAAATTTCTTAATTTTGGGGGTACCGGGCACCAAACCCAGTGCCTCATACATGTTCTATAACTGGGCTACATTCTTGGCCCCTTCAGTTTCTTTGTGCAGCATCTCACTGTAGAGGCAGGACACTAACACTTCCTCTTGAGTGATGCAGCTGGACACGGGAAGGCAGCGCA